TCATACACTGACAACTAGATGCATCCTTTTATAATTTTCTTTTTTTTTTTTTTTTTTTTTTTTTAAAAAGCATGTTTTACCTTACTAGAAGCAGCTCTTCCAGGTTTTCCAGACAAGGAGTCACTTTTAAGGTCTGATTCAGATGTGCAATCTGAAGAACTTTCTTCTGATGAACTGGACGCTGAATCTGAGGAACTGGATGCATTTCTTTTCTTGGCGATCCCCTTTGCTTTCTTTTTATTGTCTTCTGAATCACTACGTATAACATACATAAAAGATATGTATATATACATATATATATATATATTTTTTTTTTAAGAAAAAAAGATACAGATCTAAAACACCGAAATACATACTTGGGACATACTGCATTCCACATTAAAATTTCGAAGTTTTATTAAATGGATTTTAAGTCAATATTTTTTCACAATAATGGAAACTTGGCTGAGGCAACAGGTTTTTTTTTTGTTTGTTTGTTTGTTTAATGGAACACAAAACCATCCTATCACATAACAAAACATATCATCATATATAATCTAAGAAGGGGGAAGATTGAACAAAAATATTAATGTGTGTATATCATCCTGTGACATTTTAGAAAGAAATGCAGGCATTCTGTTAAATGAAAGAACCTCCAGGCCACTCCATCTATGGTTAACAGAATTCTGAAGGGTTTATATGGCATTTTTGCCAAATAACTTCTTTTTAAAAAAGCAAGACTTGAATTTTAATTTGCCTGAAACTTTCAAAACTGATCCATCTAGAAAGGAGACCTACAATGCCTACAAATATTTCAACATGAAAGAATTTATAGAAAAGGGCTATTGCAATGTTACATGCTGATGCCTTTGGTCACACCAAGTAGCTTGCAGCTGGCAGACCCAGAGACTTCAAGGGATGTTTTTCCTCACAGTGCATTTCCACTCACCATGGCCATGCTGGACGGTGTTTTTCTGGGTTAAGAGCTACTGAATATTGTAAGATCAACTCTATTCATTTCTACTAATAGGATCACTACAAATTTGTATATTACTTTTTTTGTCTCTGGAGGGAGCTAGTAATTGGAAATACCACTGGAAATAAAAATTATTTTCTAATAGTTATTATGGAGTAAATAAATAAATCACTACTGCATATGGAAATAAAATATCCTTTCTTGGCCCTGCAGCCCACCAATTTATTCTTTGAAATCAGCTTCCTCCCCAAGAAAATCAATTGGATACTAAAATGCTTTAAGAGTAATAAGGTCAATGATAATTAGACAAACCCAGCCTACTCAACTATTAAGAGTTCCTTTGGAGAGAAAATTAAGTTGTTATACATTTTTGATCAGCTTTAGGAGCTGTATAAAAGAATACACTATGATGTGACACTATTTCAGATAACAGTTTTAAAAGGGAAAAATACCCAGAAGGCAAATTGAAAAATATGATAGAATGAAAGTGTCCCCTTCCCAATAATTTGCTAGGATGTAACTAACAAATTTGATGAAGACATTAAAAACAATATTAAATCTTAACCCAACATAACAATGTCCCACCTATGTAATTAAAGCTGAACTCTAAAAATGAAATTTTAGTAGTCAAAGGAAGTTTTTCTGAAATCAGTAAACTTGTACATGCCAAAAATGTGGTGCAGTATATCTGACACTAAAAATCACAGAGAAAAAAATGTAAACTATCCGAATGAAGTTGCATATACGACAACCATAAGTTTTTAAAGAAATGTATCTGAGGTCATAGCTAAAAAGAATCTAAGATAAAAAACAAGTAACATCCTCAAATTTTCTCCTTCATTATTACTATGCAGGTAGTAACAAAGCTGCCTTACATTTCCTTATCAGGGAGAAGGAATAGCTGTAGCTACATCAACTACTAAGCTGCAGAGAACCCATTATGTCTTTTTATCTGAAAAGCATGTTGTTGCTCAAAACACACAGCTTATCTTGAAAACAAAGTCTGAAGACAAAACACACACATACATCAGCCAGTTTTGATGGGTAATCGCTGTTTACCTTTCTGCTTAAAATTTCAGATGCTATTCTAATGAAAAGAATTTACTGGTAACTAGCTTTTTAACTTTGCGATGATGAAAAGCCTGTATTAATTTAACCTACAGATTTCATTTGTTCTGAACAGGAAAAACAATATAAATCACTTTTAAAATCATTAAAACCTGACTTAAATTAATAAAGTCATAATTAGGGCATTATGCTGTGTTTGTTATGGAAGTGGCAAGGTGAGCTGCTTTAATTACTGTCTGTAATAAAAGGAGCAGAGTGCGTAGTGCGCCCCAATGAGTGCTGTCAGCGACGACCGAGCAGAGCTGCAAACTCATCAAGGGAGCTGGCAGCCGACTGCAGAGTAAAGGGCTATCATGTCTGCAGAGGCCACTTGCTGACAGCACTGGAAGAAACAGATTCCTACAATCCAAGGTATTAGCCCCAATTACTCAAAATTTTAATGATACTTTAATACACAATAATGCTGTTGATAATGGGCAATCTTAAAAAGCGCTAACACTTAAGTATCTTATGACCGTTTCCCTTCACAGTCCATGCCTCTAATATTTGGATCATAATCTTTTTAATATAACATTATTTAGAAAAATCAATTGTCTTAGTTACATAATGGCAAAGTGTTGAAGGACTTAATTTTAGCTCTCAGCAAAATTGCTGCAAAAGGTAATTAAGTGTTTCATACAACTGTTTGATCACTAACTCAGCCTCCCAAGGTTACATCAATTTTCAGAAAGCCACTCATGATTTTACTGAAGTCAGGAATTAATTCCAAACATAACAGTAGTCTTATCAATGAAAATATGAACCCAGTTCATCCTAAATACATACAAATGAAAAAACATATACAGGGAAAAAAAAAAAAAAAAAAAAAAAAAAAAAAAGAAACTAAAAAAGGTTAGCAAAATGCTTACAGAGCAAAAGTGCTCTAAAACCTAGTAATGCCCCCCGCCATTTCTTTTTCCTTAAACACACATATGCACACCTACCTTTTCTCAGCAGTTTTAGATGGTTTCTTTCCTGTACCTTCTTTGCTGTCTGATTCACTGTTGCTTGATTCTTCACCGGAAGAGGAACTCCCACTACTCTTATCGCTGCTGCCTTCCTCCTCATCTTCCTTCTCACTTTCACTGCCAGACTCGTTCTCTGCCATAAAAACAAAACAAAACTTTTACATGTGTTTCTAGATATTTTACATAATTTTTTACTTTCAAAATCCAAATTAATTTTAAAATAAACACTGTATTAGCATTTTAAGATCTACCTGGAAGTTTTATTTACGAACAGACGAAAACAGACAAACTGATAAAAACAGATGAAAAAAATTACATGTTCCCCCCTAACATACAAACTTCTGTTGTTTTAAAACCTTCAATCTTTAGCATACGATTCTGTGTTTTACTAAATTAGTAACCCCTAATGATAAATTAGTTGTAATGTGGATCCATATCAATGTCTTCACAATTGCATAACCCTATCAGGAGCTGGAGATGACCTTAAATTCTCTAATCTATATCTTCACTTTACTGCAAGATTATTTTAAACCAATTGCTTAATAGATAATCTATTCTTGAATACTGATAGTGATGATGATTAAACCACCGATTTAAACAATTTATGCGTCCTCTAATTAATCCTATAGTTAGAAAATGTTCAAATATCTTAAGTGAATATGTTCTTGCTTCAAAGATCATTAATTTTCATGATGCGATTCTTGAAAACTTTTTTTCCTTCTACTTATTTTCTCAGTTTAGGAGTCAGAGTGAAGAAGCTCCACGTTCAGATTTGAAAGTTTCTCTCTTCCAACCCACAAGATGCAGCCAATTCTTTCAGGTTTGTAATGCTAAGTGCTGGTCCTGTCTAAACTCTGGATGTGGTAGATCTCATCAGCTCTGAAGTTTAGACAGGGCCAATGAGAATCTTGTTATTTCACATAGAAATCAGGCAGCCGCTTGTCTAGCATTAACTCAGAGACTGGTAAAGAGTTCCTTAGATCACTTATTTTGACAGGCAGCTAACAGCTATCTTCTCCATCATTGCCCCAATAACAATAAACAGGGAATACCAGGTAGAAATTCAGAGTAAAATTATAACACAGTCAGGATTTACTAAAAATTATGTTACTTGTTTAACTAAGTCTGGCCATTTGTCAATGCAGGAACACATGTTATCAAAACAGTATTTCATCAACAACAAATGCCCCTAAAAGTTCAAGATTATGATTCCCATCAATTAAGACTATAGGCATTCTTCCCTCAAAACATTAGGTTCATTTAAACTTAATCGAAGTTACAAACACTTACCACTTTTACCAGGTACAGAACTAGCGGAAAATAGCATGCCAACTATTTTAGCTAGAAAATAGATCAAATTCTAATTCACTCAATGAACATTTGTTTATATTTGTACAATTAGCAGATATTACACATTCACAATGAATTAAGCTTTTTCCAAAGTTCCTTATTTTTATACATACTTTACCGTGTGTGCATGTGTGTTAATTCTTTTTAGATTTTTTTTTATTTAAATGACTCCAGTCCTTATAGCAGCCAGCACTGATGACAAAATTGCCCATGCTACAGACACATAAGTTAGTTTCCCAATACTCACCTGTTGAACTGGTGCTGGCAGATTCATCTTCCTCCTCTTCTGATTCAGAGTAAAATTCTTCAGCAGGTTTCTCTTTCTTTGTCTTGCCCAGAAGTAAGGTCCATTCTTTTGTCTGTAAATAAATTTTAATTTAAGTTTACTTTTATAGCCAGCAATATAAAAACAGACACACATTGTGGCAAAGAAAAACTCCTGCAGTTGTAGTATTACGCAGTTTCTAAATAAATGTTCTAAGCAAGATAAGACAAACTATTAAACTTCCTATTATTTTATACAATTAGGAGCACTAAAAGTTTTGTACATACCTATAAAAGGTGAGATATGTCTATTAGGGAGACCAGAAGATTTACTAAGGTGGATTAAAAGCATCAGTAACCATAAATAAATGCCTACGCCAAAGAACCTGAAGTCTGAGAGCTGTATCTCTGAACCCAGCTCAGTTTAGCCTATAACTAGACTGAAGGGAATGAAGGGTAAATACAGCCAGTCACTATCTTTATCATTCCGAATTTTAAGGTGAAAACATTGGCAGGTCCAGTGGTCATCAAAAGTTTCAGCATGCACAGGGCAATTATATTTCACTTCATTTGCAATTCCCAAAGTAAACATAATTCTTATGACCAAAAGACCACCAGAACTCTGCAATATTTGGGCCTCTGCTCCCCACCATTCCCTTAAACCTACTGCAAAAGAGGCATCAAACTCAGACTGGGTGGGGTCAAAAGCAGAGAGGCAGACAGCAGTATCAGAATGATACAAGTTTGTTTCAGTGACAGTCATCTGGACTGGAATTAGACTTTGGAAAGAGCCCTAACATTGAGCTTGAAGGAACTCTAGGAACACCAGCCTCCTCAAACACCGAAAGTAGTCAAAGTTTTGCAATTTTCTACGTAGCAGTTCATATTTAGAAAGCACAAAATTCCTTCGGATATGAACGTCAACTAGACTGAAGCTTAAGAACCCCGTTTCACTCACATACATTGTATAGGCAAATACAGGATTAGGGAAACCACCAAATTAAGGCCAGTGAAGCATTCTACAAAGGGAAGTATTTAAATAATAATAATAAAATCTCAAGAAGGTGACTCCACACCTTTCAAGCAATCTCTTCACTTATAGCACTTGTCGAGAGCTGATTGTCTTTCAACTCTCTCCTTGCAAGCTTATGGAATTTTGTATACAAATATCTTTCTTTCCTGAAATGCACATAAGAAGCAAGAAAGTCATATTAAGCTACTCAGAATAAATGCCTACTTTATTTACTGACCTTTATAAATAATATTTTTGTTTGTTTGTTTTTAATTTTCTCTATCTTTTCCCTTCCTACCATCTTAACTACAAATTGCTTCCTGTGCAAACAATGTGGAAGATGCTCATGACAAGGACTTCTCTCTGTTTTGGTTATACTTGTTACAACAGCATATGTCTGGCTGCATCATCATCATGGTATATTAATACATTATATTATTACTATATAGTATACATATGTATTTCAACTTCTGTTATGGTTCAATAGCTTTCACCTATTTTTATGAGGATTCTGGTTCTGGATGCATAAATCCCTGGTACACTTGTACCAGGCCACAGCTCTGCTGCAGTTTTCTGTCCAGGATTCTCCCTAGGTAGAAGACTGGCCCTGTCATGCCAACAAATGGCAGAGGCACTAACAGCTCCTATTTTTTATAAAAGCTTTTCAAAATCTGTGCAATTTCTTTCCTTTAAGAAGTTCCAATTCCAGCACAGGCTAAAGTGAACTGGACAGAGGGTGTTCCCATGCACCAACATTTTCCAGCACAAAATCAGTATAGAACTTCAAGGCTTATGTTTGAATCCAAACTGCCTCCAAGTGCCTCAGGGAAAGTCACTTCCAGTGCTGCCAACCTACCGCCTCGGCGGCCTCCACGTTGCGCAGGGCCGGGTCGGGCGCCACCTCCGGCCAGTCGGACAGCTCCAGGTAGCCGGCGGCTCTGCTGTTCAGCGTGTGCGACAAGGTGCCCAGCTGGAAATGGTCCCTGGCTATTAACAAAAAGGAGGGAGGGGAGGTACAGACCAACACCATGAGCTCTACCACCAAGAGTAATCTTAATCAGGGACTAAAGGTAATTGGCATTATATTACCTCAAATGTCATGGAATAGATATAAACTAGGAAGCTCTTCATAGGTCAAAAAACTGATTTCAGTCCATAGATTACAATAATCTCCCCCATAATGGTCAATAAAAAAGCTAATCAGTCAGTGTGTTTAGAGGTGTTGCTCTGAAATGTAGCTTCTCTAAAAATTACTTTACTGTGAATATTAAGAATGACAGCACAGTTAAACAATCCATATACATGTCTTGGCACAAACACACCCAGAATTTTAATGGTTTCTTTTCAAAATGGATCTGCTCTTAAAGCTCCAAAACCAGGATTAAGTGTGTACAAAAATTAAAACTGCAAAACATCATAGTAAAAGGGCATTTTAATTGAGATAACTTGATAACTTTTTAATCCAGGAAGATGCACAGTAGCTCTTGTTCTTAACCAGACAAAAAATACACAAGAGAAATTTTCACTTTGGGAAAAAATAATAAAAATTTAATCTAGTAAGATTTCTTAAGATTGATAAAGCATTTACAGTTGTCACATTAACAAGCATCTATCAACGTCTAGCTTGAAGACCAATGCCGTTTTTCTAAACAAAAGTGCATCTTTTCTTTGAAAGACCCTAGTGTTATTTGAAAGCAATTTAAAATCAGCGTGATCAGAAATGTATCAGTTGGTGTGGGATTATCACTGGACAAACACAATGTGTGCAACGCGCAGACTGCGCTCGCCAAAAAGAGCGTAGGCACAGGCAGGACCCTGCATATTAATCACCTGCATTTGCTAAGTGCCTCAGTTGGCGAGCGTATCTGAAGGGGAATAAGCTGCCACATGATGAACATTTACCAAATGATTTTGGTGGCTGTACCTTTAAAAGGAGACTCAAGCAATGGGGCAGGTTTCTGTGCCAGAAATATTTTTTTGGCATATTTGCTTAAAGCTCCACTCTTCTCATTCGGAACAATAAGCTGCCTAATAAATCTTGTACGGTCTCTGATGTCGTAGCTTTGATCATACTTGCCGAGATTTAATACGTACTGGGTAAGCAATTTTGTCTGTGGAAAAAAACAGGACAAGAACAGAATACAAGTTATTTATGATTATTGATAACTCTGGATAAACATATTTAAAGAGGTAATAAAAATGAATGGTTATGTCAAACAAATGTTGTTCCACGGGGAATATGCATTTCTAAAGCTGCAAATGGAATTCTGAAGCCAAAGCACATGTCCTCTTCTGTATTGGGGAGGTGAATGCTGAATACTGAGAAGCAGCCATGTGCTAGATTATTAAACTGCTGAAGTGGAAAGAAAGGCATCATTAAAAAAATAATCATATATGGCAAACCCGCTGAAGGGTCTACGTGAGGATAATGAATATTGAAATACAACTAAAAACACGGCATTTAAAACTTAATCGGAAAAATATGCAGGACATCAAAACATCAGAGGGTATTAGGGGGCTGGCAAACGGCTTCTGCTGAGGTGTGTTTTATGAAGAGATACTTTCCATGGCCTAAGCAGCGTCTGCACTCTGACTGCACTCAGTTACTTCATCCTGAATTATGACCCATTAAAGCAGACACATGAATCACTGAACTGGATTACTGCAAATTATTTGCAGTGCATTTAGCTGTTACTTTTTCATAAAAGCAAGCTGCTGATGCCCTCTAAAAACCAGGATAAAAGACTTCTTCCATTTTTTCTTGGGGCTTAAAGCCTCCGGTAATATCGGTAATTTATTTATTTATGTAAGAGAGCAACTTATATTATCACAGCTTTTTACAGCATAATAGGATTTCCTAATTTGATGTCTGAGAATATTAAACTGAATTATTAAAATTATTTAATACATGTTAATTTTTAACACCTGGGGGAGGGAAAAAAGAAAAAAGAATTTCAACATCTTAGATATACAGTAAACAGCACAATAATTCGGAACAGATTGTATTGTTAAATATATTTGAAAGATATTGTTTTGTCCACACTGACATTTTCCAAGCAAACAGGAAAAATAGTAAAAAATTGCTGACATCATAAGAAAATATATTTTTAGTGTACCAACTCAGAATGGAAGAACAACACGGGGTTAAAATGCATTGTCAAAGTAAATTTTTTTCTTTATATCAGCCACCTTTCATGCCTTCTTTTTCTTTTTTTTTCTACACCCACTTTGCTTGCCGATTGTGCCATGTTATAAAAACAGCAGTTTCACTTCTGTGAATAGCTAGAAAATTCAGTCAATTTATAATGCAGAAGGTTACAGTAATTGAAACACATAGTAAACAATAAGAGTTTTAACTTCATATGATGTAATATATGCAAATACTTCATAAAATACCCTGTGGTACCAAAGAATTGAAGAAATTGATCATATTACATTTCAATAGTGGTAAAAATACAGTTTAAAAAAATGCACTTTTGGTGAAAGGCTTCTTTTCCTTAATTCTTTTTTCCTCTCTGCTATCCAAGGATGGTTCTACAAAATTTATCTAAATGGAAGGGGAAAGGTATCATGGATTAAACAAAACCAGGGACACTTTCAGCAGCCTTTGCCATTGCTTTTCTTCTGTAAAAGAAAACAAGCCTCCTTCATGCCATGGCAGAAGCCTCAGCAGAAGAGATCACAGGACACATTGGTGTTTGCAGGCAAATTGCTACAGGGATGGGAAAAGGCTGAGGGCCTTGCTACCAAGGGAGGCACTTCTGTCTTGAGTAAGGATGGAATGAGCTCAAAGGTGATCCTGAAAGGCTGTATTTTCTTTTAATCTTTTCCACATCCCTTTCTTTCTTTCTCCTTTCTTTTCTTTTCTCCTTTTCTTTCCTTCCCTGCCTTAAAATATCTTTTCCATACCCTCTAAGTAAAAAGAAAAAAAAAAAAAAAGGGAAAAAAATAACAAATTTTTATGGGAGAATGCTTCATATCAACAAGAAGCTTCCTTTCAAGTGCTATCACAAATAGCACAGAGTTTTCATAAAAACAAGAAGATTTTTTTGTTTTATGGCCATGCAACCAAACAATTGGAAAACCTTTCAACATGGAAGTAGCTAAGAGAAACATTTTTTTGTTTTAATTAAGCAAATACATACCACTTGTGCCAACAAAGGAATTCTCACAAAAAGCTGAAAATTATTTGAGCAAGCAAGCTAATTTGGTGAAATACGAGAGTCTGTATCCAACAGCTACTTCATAGTACAGTAACAGAGTCGTGTTATGTACAGGTACATGAAATATCAAATGCCAGCATGCCCTGTTACCTGGACATGCTCACCACAGAGGCATAACCTCTCTTATTTTTACACTGTTAGCACCTATTAAGATTGCTTGTACCTTTTGGATAGGCTGATGTGAGAAGTGCATCAAGTAAAATCTCTAGAACTTTCTAGTGGCAGTAGTCCTATTGAGAATCTAATGTGTATCTTTTATTAGCAGCAATTAGCTTGTTGGTAGATCCCCTGTTTGAAACGCATAAAAATCTCACAGGATGAGGTTCTAAAGCATGAGAAAAACAGTCATCCATCCTTCTTTGACATCATTGGCTTGGAGTAATTGATTCTTTAGATATTTAGTTACCTTGGACAAGAATATTGAGCTCAACTGTGTTTGGGAAAACATTAGTATGGATACTGCTTTTTCCAGTGTGGCTTCTACTGCGTTACACAACAGAAACACAATGAAACCCCCTTCTTCAATCCTGCTATATGCAAAAAAACCCACCATAGTTCAGGCAACTAGACATTACTCTTTGCAAAATTGTTTTTCTCTCATATGAGCCCATCTTAGATCACCACCTAGCAGATTGATAAGCATGTTTACTGAACAACCTAGACAACCTGAGGAAAGACTGATTTTAACTACTATCAATCAAAACACTACAGAACCTGAAGCTCTTCCTTAATGTATAAATCAGTCCTTGGAAATTCATAGGGTGATCAGAGGACTGAAAAGGTATTACTGAAAATTCTTATAAAAAACCTGAATCTTAAAGGTAGTCTCAAGAATGTGTTGCATTAAGTATTTGAACATAAGCCAAAGGAAATTACAGCACAATGAGGTAAGATACTCTGAGAAAAGTGAAAACATGCAAAACTTTTTTTTTTTTTTAAACAGAATTTTGTTCTTTTCTTTATCTTTTTAAGAGACTTACTGCCTTTCCATCACTTGGGGCAGAAGGGGAGGAGTGGGGAACTTTTACTTTCTTCTTTTTTTAAGCCTCAATGCTATGCCACAACTACTTTTTAAAATGAAGTGACACTGTATCTTTGAGATTTTCACAATTCCACTGACTTTAGATGAAACTTCAAATGATTTAAATATACATACATAAGGATGTAGGTATGAATGTGGGGGAGTAGAATGGCTGAAGCAAAAAACAGGAATGGAGAGTAAATGGCCAGACTGACAACAGTTGAGCCAGATGACTCAAGTACCGAGCATTAAGATGAAAAGTAACTGGACTTCTTAGAAATTTCAGGTCACTCCAGAAAAAAATGCCTTAATATCGAGTAGGTAGAGAGTTTTATTCCTGGAAATAAGGATATACGTATCAGAAGAATGTTGCCAGCTTAAAATCCTAAAGGCAGAACTTCACATCCTAGTTCAGAAAGAGCTTTCCATCAAGTCAACCTTCTTAAGTAGAATTTTGTATATGAATAGTTTGATTAATTGAGAAGACAACTTACCTCTAACTAAACTAAAATTGCTGCAAGAAATTCACCCATAGAGCAAGTGTCTCAGAAGACACAGTCCTTTCAGGTTTATCAGTACTTTTTTTTTTTTTTTTTTTTGTATCCGAGGATAAAGAATACTTTCAACGACTGGTTAAACCCCATAACAAATGTGTGAAAAATGAAAAAAAATTACAGAAAAAAGTATCAATTTCTTTTGAGCCAAAGAATTTTGGCCGTCTGTCGCAGTTCACAGAATATCAAGTAATGGGTTAATATGAGACTAAGGACTTTTTTTTAGCTCAGTTAGCATCTTCATTAAGATGAGCACTGACAGAAGGAAATAGTGGTTGCTTTTTGTTGTTGCCCTTTAGGCTGTGTGAGCAGAATACAAGTAGCCTATTTCTGAATGAGCACCAGGGCAGCTCGCCTCCTGCATGCCCTACAGCACACAGCCTCGCTGATCCAGATACCCCACAGGTAACCTGTAAGGCCTAGAGCTGAAGCTGCCAGTCAATGAAAGAGAAGACACCGCATGTGTAGTTGGGCAGGCGCAGGATCCAGAGCTGCCCAGCCTCTTGCAAAAGAGCAGGGCCTCAATCTAGGAAAGTGTATACATCTCAGACAGTATTTTCATTTTACATTTAGGAAAATTTCTTTGATTTTACAGTATTTTCCAGTAATAACTGGAATTAGAATAAAAAAATAGTGTCAAAATGCTATATTCCTTAGCTGGTGAGCTGGTTCACATGCTGTCACTTAGATGAATGAAGCAGTTGGCACCTCTCACAGCTACTGCTTTCACTTCCTGGGGATTCTGGCAAGTCTAAGCTCATCTTTTTGTATTATCTGACATTTTTAAGATTACCTTTATCACTACAGAGGATCAAAACCCACTATCTTCATGAACCGAAGTGAAACAATAAGAAATACAGAAAAAGTGAAAGTAGTCACTATCTTTAAGAGGAGCACTGGAGGAAAGACATAAAGAGGGCTTTTTATGGCATCTCCTTTTAGATACTCTGAGCAAAATACAAGCGACTTCTCGCTGAACAGCAAGACGACCCATCTCCCACACTGCCCATACAATATGATCAGTCATTTTGTTTCAGACACCACACCAACAATCTGCCTCATCAGCAGGCTGAATTAGACTGCTAAAAGTGACCAATGAAGGTCTAAATGACAGTAGTCTGCTAAAAGCTCTACTTTTTATTACAGCTTTTTTTAATATACTAAATCACTTTGAGAACCACTAATCTGCACAATTTAACTGAATAAAAATAAATTGTAAAAAAAAAATCCCCAACAAAGAGGCTAAAAAATTGATCTCATTCATATTTAAAATCTCATCAGGAGGTGATTTATCTATTGGATAACTTGAAAACTTAAGTTCAGAGTTTTGGAGGTTTTTTGTTTTATTTTTGTAGAACAAGGTAAACAAGATTAAATTATTTAAATAAAAGAAACTGCCACTGGTCCACACAGAATGCACAGAGACTACCACGACTGTAAATACATATATACATATGTATATTCTCATTAGCTTTACCTGCTTTGAGTTTGTTAGGTAGAGTTTTGCTCCTAAATTTAAGACCTGCAACTTCACAAGGTCATCTTCATTAGTGAAGCTCTTGGCTGTCTTTCTCAAAACATCAGGTGCAATCTTTGGAACTCGTTCACAGTACTCCCCAATGAGCCAGAGAATGCTTGCCCTTGCCACTGGCACCTGAGAAAATATTAAATGTTGTAAGCGAGAACATTCACAAAGATCTTTTTTGTACACATATATGTTAAGTAACAAATTAAACAAAATGTTAAACACAGTTGTCACACAAGTAATGAAAATCCTGACTAAATATCACCTATTACACCTCCTGTGGTGGACAGAATGTAGCTAAATGCATAAGATGCAGATCCTACCCCTTCTCTCCCCCCACCAAAAATTTTCCAAGTTGTTGGCAAAGAGAAAGCAGCATGGAAACAAGGATGCAATCTGTGCCTGTTCACAGTACAAGCTGGTGGCAGCTGGGAAGAGAATCCAAGTCTCTGAGATAGGGGCTGGAGTTCTTGCCACCAGATTATGTGAAACACCATGTGGAAACACAGCATTTTTAGTGATAGATATTAACAAAGAGATGGTTGCCAACAATATAGTTTCTTCAACTCCTGGACATTTATTTAAAAAGCAGAAGTGCTTTAAAGATGATTGCCAGATTTCCTTCACTCTCATTTAAAGATTTTGGCAGTGAAGTTCATATTTTTGGAACTGTCCAAGATAAACTGAATATAGAATTTGCAAGACAAGAGCTCAGATTTTTTTTCCCTCACTTTTTGAGCTGGATCTAAGAGGCTTTTGTTTGTAAAACCTCCCTTAATTAAAACACTATAACCAAAAACTTTAACTCTTATTCTTTTAGTGCTACTCATCTATGTTGCATAGAGTAACTGAAGGAGTAGTTGCTAAAGGAACTTGCAGGCAATGTGTAAGCACAATACTGCTAGAAAGGAAGGAAAAAGGAGGGTGAAACCTCCCAGAAGGAAGCCAAAGCTCCATGCAGAACTGGCTACAAGTAATTCCGAGTTAGATTAAGAAACATACATACTCTTCTCAAAGGCAGATTATCCTAAATCCTACACGGTGGTCAAATTAGAAATTGTATCTATGCTATATATATATATATATATACACACCCCCAAGATATAATGTTGACCTTCCTCTCAAGGAAGGAAGAAAGTATCTGATGAGAAAACTCCTGGGAAAAGCATATCTTGAGAGCATCACAGTCTTTAGACACTACACGAACTTCATATAGACTCATCCAACATAATTTAAAATATTATTACAAAAAAAACTGAAAAAATAATTGCAATTTTAAGTATTTTTTGTTGTGCTTTTTCAAAGAAAAAAAAATGTACTGACACCTTCCACCACGATAACATACAGTGATTCTTAAATAAGCTCACATTTAAATCAGTGAGACTTCTGCCTTAGGCAAAAATCACAGGAATGGGAAATTAAGGCTTGTGGTTCTCAAAACGCTAATTCTTACCATTGTATCTGTGATTTAATATCTTTTGCAGCATATGTCAAAATAATTCATATCTGAATACATAAGTGGCAGAATTACAATGGAAAACAGAAACAGAAAACAACTGTTAAGTCTCCTCCCTCAGAACTAATGCTTTCAAGTTTCATTCATAAAAGGTAACAAGTGAAAGTAAACCACAACATGCAAGATAGCACTTCTCAAACTATGCTGCACAATTTCTTCTATACAGGGATTCATCTAGTAAACCATTCACAAGAAACTTAATGATTAATAATGTTCTATTGCTCAAAAAAGTTTGGAAAAAAAACTGAATAAAGCCAACCTAACAATATCTTGCTCTATGCTGTACACTGTTGCAAATACACATGACAGACAAGCATGTGCCAAGGAAATATGCCATGAGGAAAGCCAAAGATTAACTCTACTAGAAGAGAAGGCAAACAGCAGACAGGAAGACAAACTTCAAGAAAAATAAATGCCAAAACTATATACTGAAAAATATTTAACATAGAGCTAACATAAAACAAATGAGACCACCATAACACAGAGATATAACATACATGCATAAATATAAATTCCATTCAGATTTTTTTTCCCAATCTTAACAAAAGATATTTCAATGGTCTTGGAATCTACAGGATGAGAGAAGGGAACACACTACTAAGCAACTGCTGAATGTAAAAAGTTTAAACACAGTTCATCTGCAATACGGTGAGACTGATGCCATTACTGTACACTGATTTCAGATTTCAGAAGGGAAAGACGTTATTTCTAATGTTCCAAAGGTTACATTGCATTAAGACCTCACTCCCAATCTATTATTTTAAATTGGGCTAAAGAATAGTAATTGAGTGGTACATTAAATTTTCCAGTACTGGAGCAGTTCAAGTTGCGTGCTATACAGATAGATACCTCTAAATAAGAATATATGGGCAACTTCAGATTTCAGTTATGCTAGATTTATTTTTCTTAAATATTTCATTAGAGACTTGTTAAAAAACTAGAATTCTACAAGAGATTCCAAACTAAGCCAGTTTAGGTAGCAGCCTACTAGAAACCTGCTTTATCCTACTAGTATCTTTTTATAAATCAAATATAGCTTACAAGGCCAACCAAATTTGAAAACAGTATTATTTATCAATGACAAACTTCAATCTTGTACTACTCCTAGTCAAACCCAGCCTATACTTTACAAATACAATGAAATATTTAAAGGCACACTGCTTTATTCTTTCAAGTCTTCCTTATTATATTAATCTTTTACCGCAACATTTTTAGAAAAAAAAGCTAACTAAAACCAAGCTTAATTTAAAAAACAGTGATAAGAGATGAAATATCTCATGAGACTCTCGTTTTTAACTAGGTAGCTTACTATGTAAATACTGTATATATTAAAAAACAGTATTGTGCAAGAAGAATCAATATCAATTATAGACTTTTTGAATCAAACTCTTGAGTGGAAGTGATTTTAATGAAAAGTATATGTGGAACTGATGAACCCAACATTTCCGTGTCACTGGATTTGCTTGGGGTCAAAATCACATAATATTTTCAGATTTCTTTTTCCCCTGTTTAAGTCTCCCAGTCCTCAACCAGGTAATATCAAGCACTCGATCTGGCTGCCATTGTTTCCAGGGCATTCAAAACAGCAAACAAGATGTGAAGCCACTTCTAGACCTTCATTGCCTTTTCCAGTATAGCATAAGTAGGGACCTTGAATCGACAGAAATGCAGGAAATAATACTTTCATTATGCAGCCCTGCTCTGCATTAGCCTCAAAGGCAAGCAGGATTGTAAATTACGTTGCCTGATGTTTTATTCTATATGCCCTGAGCAAGTGGTTAAGTGCACTTTTCAAGCTTTAGTACCAGAAGGCAGTTTCTACAGCCATTTTAACCCATTACTTGTCTGGAGGAGAAAAATAAAAATAAAATTAAAAAAAAAAAACAAAAGCAAGAAAATTAAGATCCTGGTTGCTCACTGTACTCAGAGAAAGGCATCTGCAAAGATTTTTCAGGTCTGCAAGCAACACAATCCAAGAGCTGTTGTACTTCAGCTCTAACCATATTAGGCAACACATCACACTGAAGTAGATCTTAAAAACACCAATACTAGTTACCTATTTTTGTTAAAAAAAAAAAGACTAAATGGATACTAGAAAAACACAGAAAATTAAATCAAATTTTCTACATTCACATCTATCAGTTCTTAAATTTTTACTTGTAATCAAAAATAGAAAAAGGGATGTTAGCAATGTAAAATATCAGACTGTTGGCAAGAAGGAAAGGCACACAAAAAAGGACTAAAAGACAAGCATTGCTTTTTGTTTTCAAATGGTAAAACCTTTCAAGGACTGCTCCATTATTCGAACCTCCGACACAAAATTTATTTAGAAAAAGGATCTGTACCGATGACTGCCTCTCTCCAATATAGTGAGTTTTTTGTGTGTGTGTGTTTTTTTTAATGTGCTTTTCATTCAAACTAAATACTGGATTTAAATTCAGTATACAGTGTGTATGGATACAATGTCCCAAATGTCACATACTCAAAAAAAAAAAAAAAAAAAAAAGGTTCCCCCATTACATAGAGATTAGAGTGAGTAAATAAATAATCAAATTAAGAGAAACACTCATTACTATCGAGGCATTATTAAAGCTTATAGAAGAACAGAAAAACAAATGTGGCTAGAATCTGAAGCTTTCACAACTGAAACACATATTAACTATAAAGTTCACGCCTTGTAACACCTTCCCAAATTTGAGGAAAAGTAGAACGTAAAAAAAGCAAAATATCTCTCTTAGGAGGCCATTATCATGAAACTAGCAAAAAGCAGAGTCTACATAAAAATAGTTAAGAGGAGCTTAAATTTGTTATTGTTGAATGAACAAATTGGGAGGTGTTTTTTTTTTTTTTTAACGTTCCTTTTTGTCATCTGTTCTAGTGATAAGAATCCCACATAAAATCTAATTTCCCCAGTAATTAATTTTTAACTGCTTTCATCAGTAATGTTTTTCTGTCCATGTATTATTCTTCCAAAATTTAAGTGTTAAGTCTACACCTGCAAGTGTTTTTCTCTACACCTGCAACTTCCTTTTCTGCTTTAAGCCCATCCAAAATGTTCCCCATCTCTAAATTAGACAGTACTTTGGATTTAGCTTATTTTATAACATTCCAGAAAGAAGTAGAAATACCTCTTTAAGAAAAAAGAGGGGATGGCAGTATTTGTCAGCCAGCAGAGGAAAAATAATTGCTTATTAGTTCTATAGAGATAAGAAAATCACACCAGAATTACAAAATTCCCATCACACAAAACAATCACTACAGGGTACAAGGTATTATTATAAATTATTTTTTTAAAAAGAATGGGGAGAAACTAATTTGGAGCCTACTGCAGCTGTTTATTTGAGAAAATGCACATAGACCAGTATCAAGCCATTTCCACTCAGAGCTACTTCTTGTTAGGCTGATTTAGCTTCACTCATTTCTAAAATAAATTAAGATAAATCAAATAAGGTATGCTTCAAATCTAAACAGAAATGTCTCATGTGTTAATCCAGTTTAATCAAGATACCTAACCAATCCACCTTTAAACTTAATTCAGATTAAAACTGCAAGTTTTTCCACTTAGAGAAACTCTGGACCATAGGTGTTCTGGAAGACAGGTATTTTCCTATGAATTTGTACAGTATCAAACAGTGATGCTGAAACCACCATGTGCAATTTTAATACATCCAATCTGTATAGTAAAACTAAAAGCAGTTCTGCATTAATATTTGACATAAGTCAAGTTTATGTGCTGCTTGTATTAATAAATGTTAAGATATTTCAGCAACTTTTTAAGCATTTATGCTTTTATTAAAACTGGATTTGACATGTCATCAAAAATACATCACTATCTCAAAATATACCTATGGATAACTAAGGTAGTTAGTTTGTGAGGGTGCAGGTACATCAAGACCAAACTGTTCTGAAGCACTTTCATGTCATTACCTTTCTACCACTTGAAGGACTCTTTTTCAAAGATACTGATGAGGAGCTCATCAAATGTCATATAGTGTGTCATATAGTACATACACTTCTAGAAGGTTTTGCATGAATTTATAAAAATGAGTAGAAAAAAAAATGACTACAATGAAAAGCAATAATCAATCTCACAGTTAATTGTAGAAGAAAACATGCTGCCTAACAGATTTTCAAATAGCCTACAAGTGGGCTCTTCAATGAGGAAACTAAGCTTTGCTGATATAATGTTATTCAGGGTAAACAAAATTTAAAAAGAGCATGAACAGTTTAAGATGACACATTTGTGAATCAAGAATTAAGCAGAAGTGATACAGATGGATTTCATGCATTAATACCTGAACTTCAGAAACACAATTCTACAGTAATGGACTCAGAATTATTTCTAGAAAAAAGAAATCCTGGAATCATTAAATATCCAAACCTGGAAATATAACTCAATGTTTAGCAGAGGACAATAGGCAAACACCACTAACAAACCAAGACAAATAACACAGAACAATTAATATCATTATAGCATTGCAGAAAATTTCTCTTTCATGCTGTGACTGCTCTAAGCACAGAAGCAATTTTTGTTCTGAAAACACAAGCGATTACTATAAAATTAGGCAGTGCTTGTTTGAGATTGAGAGATCTTACCAGTATGTAAAAACACCTGAGGGGAGGACGTAAAGAGGATGGGGCCAAACTCCTCTCCACAGTAGCCAGTGACAGGACAAGGGGTAATGGATACAATTTGAAACACAGGAAGTTCCACCTCCATATGAGGAAGAACTACTTTGCTGTGAGAGTGACAGAGCCCTGGAACAGGCTGCCCAGAGAGGTTGTGGAGTCTCCTTCTCTGGAGATCTTCAAACCCACTTGGACGCAGTCCTGTGCCACGTGCTCTAGGTGACCCTGCGTGTGCAGGGGGGTTGGACTAGATGATCTCTAGAGGTCCCTTCCAACCTCAAGCACCCTGTGATTCTGTGATAAATATATATATATATAATTAGCAGCACTGACTTTCCTGCATTGCCTTAGAGTTGGATTATGAAAAATCCAGTAGAATTATATTTTCTTAACATCAGTTAGCAAGTGTGATCATCTAATAACCTGTTCTTAAATACTCATTTTAATGACCAAATTTCCCAACAGAACAGTTCTGTTTATAGCATCTATAGCTGTCGATTCTTAGCATCAAATTCCATCATCTTTGGGGTACAATGCGATAAGTGACTAAGTCCTCAGCACTACACAATAATTTAGGATATAACATTAAGTGTTTTATCAATAACTTAAACTGTGAGGCAAATTTGGATAGTTAATATTGACATACCTAAACTTCAATTTAATCTAAGGGTATATAATAAGCAATAAAACAAATGTTAATGTTAAAAGTCATAGAATCCTAAATAACCAGAAGAAAAGTGTGATAAAAAGCACTGTAACATATCCACACTAGTGTGGTCTTTGCTATCATGACAGGAAGGTTACGTGACTTGGTGAAGAGAGAAAAAGATTAAAAGGCACGCGCATCAGGAAGACAGTTGAAAATTCTTAAGTTTAGAGCCGCTTTTTTCATATTTTCATTTCAACTCATTATTCCTTGTTCTAATAATTAACCATCCATTTTCTCTTGGCCCTAATGGCACAGAATATACACAACATTTCTAGTCATTGCTTTCAAAATGGCTCCCCAGATCTGAGGCATAAATCCCCCTCTCATAGCTTCTACTTTCTCTAACATGAAAATGATTTTTTTAAAAAAGTCCAAAAAATCCTTATATTCTACTTCCTTAATAATAACTATTTCAACTTATGGTCCAAATTAAATGGAGTCAGTGCAATTTTTAAATCAGTCATCAAAGTGAATAAGGAACTGTACACAAATACTCACTGTTATGTTATCCAAGAGCTTGGCCATATGCTTAATAATTTCACCATGGTGCGCTGGCTGGGTTTGCAACAGTTTCTTAATGACGACAACACCTTCAGCAACTACAATTTCTGTTCAAGACAAAAAAAAACCCTCAAATTATTACTCTTACAAACATTTATTCAAAAGAAAATGATAAACAACAGATGATCAGTATTAGTTTTCAAAATATGTTTGCAGAACTGAATTATATCTAAAAAGGTGTAAGCTATTTCATTAATACAATTTCAGCTTCCAGATACAGGTTATAAGCAGGAAAAAGACATGTTCTAAGCATCTAAACATATCACCCTATTATATGAGTTTTGAAATTGTTTTTGTAAAGCTGCACTTTTTACTTTTGCTTTTCAAATATCAGTATTTTGCAGAATAGCAATCTATCTTGCATCATTAAAATTATGCATAGTGGTAAATAACTTGGTATCTTCATTAAAAGTGCAAATACTTGTTTTGCTTTTCAATGAACACTTAAAAGTGTCAACTCATTCATAAACAAGAGAAATAGCTAAGTGTTTTCTTAGAACTTTTTGTACTTTTTAAAGGGTCTGTAACCTAATCTCTAGTACATTCAAATAAGGCTTCTAAATAGGCAAGCTGTTGTAAGATATATGTCCAAGTCATGCATTGGAGTGCTTAACTACTGTAACAAGTAACATTCACACTCTGACCAACTTGTATGAAATGTATAATTTTTGATGCTGAAAAAAACCCACTGGTGCAGAGGTAAGCTTCTATGCAAGAGCAAACTCATGCTGTAAGAAAAGATGAAGCAAAGTCAGACATGTCTAAAACTGAAATCAAAACAAAGGATAGCTATAAGAGTTCAACACATTTTAATTTCAATTTCTACTCCAAAAATGGAGTAACTATCTCTCTTAAACTATCAATGCTGAAAAAGAAAAAAAGTATATCTACCTTTCCTCAAGCATCACAGAAATATTCTCATTTCAACAGTCAGTCCGACACACAGAACACAGCTGCGATTCATTAGGTAATCAGGCAAGCTACTGTTTCAAAAGAATGGCACAGGAGAAGAAACACCTAAAATCTTAACTGCATTTTTTAAAAAGCAAACCTCTCTACGGAGAATTTATGCTTAAAGTCTGCAGGTATGTGCTTTTGTGATTTAAGCCTCCAAAGAGCTAACGCTTTAGCTTTTAGCTTTCTGTGTCATCCTTTATTTGATATGACATCTCAGTCATTTCTCTAGACTAATTTCTTGAAGCAAGGTTAAAATTGTATAATTAGAGAGAGAAAATCAATTTCATAACGATTCAACTTCATATAGACCAAGGACATACACAACTCTACAGACCAATTTGATTTGTCACTTTTTTTTTTATTATTTCCAGTTATTAATATATGAAGAAAATTCTGAATTTTTAAAATTAGCAACCTGGAGTATTTGGAGCACTGGACTGATAACCTTATCATTGAAAGCTCTGCAATACTGCTTAATAGGCAGAGCAGTCAAGCAAACTATAACAGAACCCAAACGACTGAGGTGGACATGAAGTCATCACAAAAACACCTCCTGACATTGTAGAACTGCCATGACAAACTGAGATGCAGAGTATGAAGTATCGCCATAGAACTACTTTAATGTAATCTGTTGGAACAAATTTGAAGAACTGAATCAGAACTAAAAGCAAGTACACCAGCAGGATCCCTTTTACGCAAGTCTAGAGTCCACATAAGAAAGTGCACACAAAAACACATCAATACCAATAAACTGAATATCACACAGAGTTTGCTCTCTTTTACTTCATTTTAGTTGTAATTTTACTAGATAGCTATGTAAGAGGTATTAACAGTTCAAGTAATTTTAGGACCTATCATATTTACATAGGTTACTAGGGGAAATAAGGTATTTTATTTTTTTCATACAACTGTTTTTTAAATTCACTATTATTCATAAACTCAGTGCAACTTTTAAGTGAAAAAAAATCTTATGTCTGAGAAAAACCTACAAGATCTCTCGTATATATACTCAGGACAGACAGAAGAAACTTCCTATAATCCCATCTGTCTCTTACATCTAAAATGACTTCTATGTCATCTCAGTGTGGCCAGCAGTCAGATCAAATTACTGAGGCAATTTTTTAAGAGAAATACATCAGTCAAATGCCAAATGTTACAAAAATAACTCTTCTTTCTGTGCTTCTTTCAGTAGATGAGGAAGGAAAACAATTCTCAATGCTCAACATAAACATGACTGGGGAAGGGAGGAATTGCTCTTGAAATTTTATTTGCAGTTTTAAGAATACTCTTTAAGATTAGCTTTCTCTTATTCAGGGAAACAGAAACCTGAAAACATAAATCAAAAAGCTCCACACCACATACAAGAACTAGAAAGTTCAATGACAAGACATGTAAAAGTTACCCCAGATGGACCTAACCGACTCCTCTAGAGACAGTTTGTGTCTTGCAGCACCCAAGTTACAGAAAGAATGGCACAGGTCCCATGCCAGATGCACAGTACACTTGCATACTGGGCTGCATAAATGCCTTTCTAGAAGAGCACAGAACAGGAATAGAGATTTTGCCACCACCTAATTCCTCAGGATTCTGTTTTGATTTGATAAAATTTGCTTGGTTGCCTCTCTTCCATACGACATTGAATTCCCCATAATAACAAAACTGCCAGGAAGTCTGGACAGACTCCGCTTTCACTGCCCTTGGAATCACTGGACTTACCAGGCCAACCTTTGTGCTACACAAGTGGCAAAACTGCTTCCAGGCTTGGAACAGCTCTAGAAGAGGCCGTACTGCAAACAAAGACATCTCTTGACCACAAGATTACCTGCAAACCTTGAAGATGAGAGCTGGAAGCATGCAGGACTAAGCAGGGACTTCTCATAACTCTATTCTATCCAGACAGACTTTTATACAGACATGCAGATATATACAAAATTACAGAGAAGGAATGACTTTCTTAAGATGACTAAGTCGAGAAGCCATGGTCTAAGAAAAGCATTTTTCTCTTATCTCCACTCCTAATTAGCAAAAAGAAAAACAAAGCAAGAAAACAGTAAGATGGATGATTATGTAACAAATTCACTATTTTAAGTGATAGTTTAATCATCCTATCCTATCCCTGTAGAAAAATGGGGGCATTGTCCATGCTAAAAGGAGTGTACTGACCTAGAAGAATATTACTAGTAAAAATACATGAAATCAAGAAGAACCTTACACGGTATTATTTTTCATATGCTCATTACTCACTATAGCACAAAAACAAAACAAACAAAAAACAAACCCACAAAAAAAATGCTCTAAAACATACCCACATGCTTGTTGCAGAAATAGGCTTAAAAAACAAAGGTTGGAAGGTATTTTAAACACAGTGGCAGACCAGAAAAGCATAAAGGGACCATAAGGCCTATAGCAATAGAAGACAGAAGTTTCATACCTTGAAAGGTACCAAAATATGCACTGACACTTCTTAAAAATATCTTACACAAGTTGCCTGGGGAGATAAAAGACTTGCAACTTATAAATAACAGAGCAAGAGAAAGATCTAGGTGTATCAGTGGGTCACAGAAGATTACACCCTATCAAAGTGATGATTTGTATTTTAACATTTGGGATAATATTACAAGATGCTCCTCCTTCCTGACTTATTCTGTTTGATTACATTTGTTTCTACTTCCAATAATTTAACCATAATCCCACAGACCGTACATTTTAAAATAATCTTTTGATTCCCTTATTGATTTCCATTCTGTGCAATATCTATTGATAACCAGTAGGGATATACACTATTATCAGATATTCATTTGCAGTGCTGCTATATACTATTTGACTTTATCTGCTCTTTCTTGTGATTTTTAGCAACTTGCAACTCCTTTTTATTGTATAAAACTAACATAAGACTAGATTACAAAAATCATGCTAAATTAGGGGCTGTTTATCCTAGAACGATTTTTTTTCCTCTTTAAAATTAGGCATTGAGACACATGAAAAAGCCATTCCAAGCTTCCAGCACCCTCTACAGGCTAACTATTTTGATGCAACTAAATATTTATCAGCAAGATTCCTATGAGAACAACAAAAAACATAACTTTTTAATAATATAGAGTTTAAGAAAAAATAAAAGGTAAGCGTATCATTATAGGCACATGGAGGCAATCTCTAAGAAAAGAGTAAAGAAGTAACCACTGATTATGAGAGTATTTCCATGTGCTTCTAACTTTTTTAGCTTACCATCCCTGTTGGACAGCAGGCAAACTAGGCCATTAAGACACGTATCAGTCACTTCGGTGATGTTTGTTGCACATCTGCCAATAGCCTGAATTGTAGCTGCTGCAAATTGCTTATCTTGGCTTTTCACATAAGTCTGTGGAAAACAGGATTTTCATAAGTTAATAAATTTGATAATATATTGATTGAATATTATAATATAGTTGATATATATTTAGTAGTCCTGTTAACAAATGTCTTATATTTATCTTACGAAGATAATGCTGCATCATACAACAAATTAGAGAAAGCTACATTGTACATTAGAAGTTACACTTTTCTGTTTTTCCTTCATTTTTGCTCTTAGAAAACATTTTGACAGTCTTCTCATTGATGGCTACGGGAACCTCTGATTTCTAGAAAGCTTGGGGCAGGGCGACAAAAAAACAAACACAACACACACACAGAGCTACAGTTAGTTTGAGTGCAAAGTTGGAGAAGTTTGTGAATTCTCTCCTCAAGGAGGATTTATTTCATTCAACCATCAGCATCTGTGAAAACGCTGAATAACAAACCTGCCTTATAACTGCTATCTTGCAGAGAAATGCAGACAGACAACTAAAGCAATGCAAATAGGAAGTAGCAAAGAAGGACAAACCCTGTTTTACCACACAGGCAAAACATCCTGCTGATGCATACACAGGTATCGAGAAAATATGGTAGATAACATCATTTCATTCATCAAATGACTTCCAGAAAAGTGGTCTGGCAATAAATGCTTAAAAGCAAGTATTTGCTAAAATGAAGACGCTATCTTCCAGTGTCTCATTACGATATGAGACTGCATCACGCCTCTGTTCAGAGAGCACTATCCTGGAAAAGACTGTATCTGGCAAAAAGTAAAACTTCAAGAGTCTAGATGAAATAATGAATAACTGCAGTTGGCCAGTAGAAAGTATTTTATGGAAGAAGAATATGTCTTCTCCACAAACCTGAAATTCTCGTAGTAGAGTTGATATGTTGGCTTCATTTGCTAGATTTGTCAGAATTTCAAGCTATAAGACAAAAATAAAAAGAAGAATTTTACTACAAGTTGAAATAAAACATTATAAACAGTATCATATATACCACTTATCAGTATGCATAAGTAAAAGTAAATACTATTAGAAATACTACTTGGCATTTAATGGAGTATATCAGATTTCAGTATAAACTAATGGTAGCATCACATTTTAGAGGAATATTATCCATGCAAGTAAATGCAAGATTTTCAAAATAGTGCTTAAGACTTATTAATGCATTTTCTATGAGCTGTATCTTTACAGTGTTGTGTGGCTTTCTGAATGGACCATGACAGCATGGTTTCTAGTGTGATACATACAGAGAAGTCATAGCCTATAAAGCCATGCGACACTAAGAAAACAGCAGCTCAGGAAATATAAATTATATGCCCATAATATTCAGAAGTACTGTGATAAACAATCTTTAAATTGAGGAAGAAACAGTTGCTTCTATGAAACTGTTTAGCTCTAAATAATACCAACAGCACGGTACCTCAAAAAGTATCTTCCTAATTCCTGGTGAAGAGGAGGGTAATATACAACGCTGGGCACACGCTGTTAGGATGTTATGCTTCCAAGCTGTTTTAACTTTTAAGAAAGCTGCTTTAACTTTTAAGAAAGAATTCTATACCAATCTGAGTGAGGTAAGCTCAGAAAAAGACAACTCTCAAGAGAAGATGTGTCTCAAATATTCAGTGTCCATGTTTTTTTGAGATAGATACACACAGATAAGGAGATTTAATTGGTAAGTTCACCTGTATTTCAGAAGACATTTTAGAAGGCCTCTCACCAAAAAGAGATAAGTGTAACTGGAACTGAATAAGAAGTGAACAAAGGAGGACAGGAATGAACAGGACTACATGACCTGTTTTATAGTTCAGGGAGGTTATCAATGGAATCCCACAAGTATCTTTGTTGATCTTGTATTTCAACATATTCAATAAACTGTGAAAGTGATGAAAAGACAGATGACAGTTTCCTATGGCTGCTAAGGTTTTCAGAGAAATTAAGACAAAAGGCTGACTTAGAAAAGCTGCTTAAAGCTGTACTATTCTTGTAAATACTGGATGACTGGTTGATAAAACATAAAAAAAAATGCAACTCAACTCAATTGTAAAGCAGTGTAAGGAAGACACTCTAATTTTGCTTAGAAAACAAGGGGCGCTGTGCTGATTACTACTAATCTAAAAAAAAAAAAAACAACTAATGGTTAAAATAAAATTATCTATTAAATAGATAATGACATGAAAATAAGCTCCAAGATAAGTAGGGATCAGAAAAGTAAACTGGGTGTTTGGAAATAACAAGACAGCAATTAACAATGAGCTAAATGAATTCAAAGGTGTCCCTGCATCTTAAATACTGCTATAGGTTTGATCACATTCATCTTAAAGCAGACTGTGTAGAACTAGGATGAAAAAAAAAAAAAAAGAAATGAAAGAATGAATGATGAAAGAAAAGAGCAAAATATCTACTCTTCCAATCTTTCACTCTGGTGTTATATTTAAATTTCCCAGGTAATATCAACTTGAAATTATTTAAGGAGTTCAGAGGTCAGTGGCTTTTCCTGAATAGTATTTACAGCAGCTTTCATAATCATTAAGTTTGGGGAAGATCCTTTCACCTCCTTATGTATCAGATATCCTTAGATACAATATCAGACTAATAAAAATCACATGGTTGTGTATAGTTATCTCAGACAGTCTGACAAGCCTTAAGGACACTTGTGGACTTATCTAAAAGTCACAATGTAAGACTTCTTAATGATAAAAGAACAGAATAGAATGATGTTTCTCATTGCAGTGTAAAAAAATTATCTTCTTGTTGCAAGCAGTGATTTGTCCAGCAGTATACAGATTCATTCTTTTAAACCCACCTTCAATGTTTTGATCATTGTTGGATCAGTAGATCTAACATAGAAACTCTTCAAATAAGGTTCAAACATTCCCTGGAAAACAAAATTTATTTAAGTAGCTTGCCTGTGCTTATTCTAAAATATAGTTTAAAAAATTTCAAAGAAGGTATACCTTTCTCTGAATTGACATAGTAGCAATATTTTGCAGAACAATGTACTGTACTTCCCTAGAATTTGGAAAGAACAATACGAGTTAGTATACAAAATTATGGATACATAGAATAATGCATCATGACACAGCTTTTTGGCTTTTTTGGTGTTAAAAGAATTTTTGATTATAATTCTCAAAAAAAGGCCCAGCTCTCCTGTGACTTGTAGTATACAGATAGGTTTGTTTATCTATTGAGAAGCAGCACTATAACATCACAGACAAGCTAACCCAATTGCCTAAAGCTTAAGTAATTACAGTAGTTACAGTTAAATTTTCTGAACCACAGGTTTTCAAATTCCTTCATGACATAAATCACACCTTAAAAGACAAATCACTTCAATTATCTCCTCTTATTCAAAACTGCAGAATAGACCTGTAGTAATTACAGCTGTCACCTGCAAAACAACGTAATAATACCAAAGCACCTAGTATCTTTTAAACCTATTTTTGTGCAATTCTTATAAAAGTACATGGAAACAGCCACGCATAATGAACCAAGACTAGAAGTCACTATGAAATGCTCTTCCAGGCATTCCAGCCCTCACTGGATTACAAACAATTTGGCATTAATTTAAAGGTGAACAGGAAAAGTTTATTTCAAAGTGGGTCTTTACTAGCAAGTGGTTCATGAAGACTTGCTACAGAAAACAGACTGTTCAATGTATAAAAGTCAGAAGTACCATTTTAGACTAACTAGTTGAGCTATAGAAGAGATAGAGAATGACTACTTATCTGGCCAAATCTGGATATCAGCATGAGGAACAAACAGTGTGCAGGAAGCCTCCTTTCAACCTGAGTCTTAAGTTCTGCATGTTACCTATATGTTTTAACTGTTCTATGTAACTTTGCATAAAGTGAATTGGAAGCAGCCTATACTATAAAGACAAATACAAAAACAAAGGTAATTTATTTTTATCTAAACTAAAAACATGAATACTCTAAGTAGTACTATTTTTCCTTAATAGTCTAACTTTTAGATGATAGATACATTAGCCAAGGGTGAGCTATAGAAGTTTAGAAGCAACATTTTTATCGTGACTGGGCATGAAAAACAAACTAAACAGTCTTGTCAGACAAGACCTTCATAGCTAAGTTCTATCCAAAAAGACTGTATGTAGCTAGTAAATGAATGTTAAAATCTTTTCAAAGTAACTTTCCATCACACCTCTGGGCTTTTCAAACAAAGACGAAGATAATACATAGATAAACCTAAAAACTGGAAAAAAACTTTACAAAAATATTGGCATAATATGCCTATACTATCAATCACAAAATCCTTCCAGAGTATTATCAACCTTATGAAGCATATGGCAAATGAAACTCTTGATAGTAAACTATGAGAAGGTCATACTGAAGATGCTGAAGTCAAACTTAGGTGGAATGGATGAAACACAATCTACTTCTTTAAAAGGATTAAGAAATTGTAGTGGATTCAGCAGTATCTGCTGTTAATTTAAAAATAACTGTTTCTGTTGCTGACAGAGAAATGAGAATTATTTGTGAAGAACTTTCATTTGAATAAATATGAATGTTACAGGACAATTGTAAAATGAAGCTCTAATTGTGCTATAGTTAAATGAACAGACAGATATATGGCATTGAATGTAAACAAGCATGTACTGTCACAAAAAAAAAAGTACAGACAGTAAATCAAAGAATGGACACGACCCACCTATTGCTACGGAGTAAACGCACCAATGATTTAGAAACAATGCCAGCTTCAGATTTTGGTGCTAAATGCCAATAAAGCTGTGCAACTGCCATCACCACCTAAAAAAAGAAGATTCAGAATGGCCTGTTAACTCAAAATAGCCACACATAGATATTAAATTTGCTTCAAGTCTACAGAACCACAAAGTCTCTCTTCGTCAAAGAGAAAATTGCATATATTGAAAAGCAAAGCAGACTGGCAGAGGGAGAAAGGATACCAGGACTAAGATACTGTTCTTTTTTTTTCCCTAAAATGACAGATCCATTTACTGACAACTTTTAAAGTCTAAAAGTAAAGAGTAAAACCTATATTTATATATTAACATCTGCAAAAAGCAGAAAAGTGTGAAGCATAATAAAAATTATGATCTTAAATTGCTTTTCAACTTTTTCTTATGGGTCAAGGACAAATGAAGAACTTTATGCTAGTCACACCATAGAACTGCTCTTTGCAGTTATTACATAGGTTATTACATAGATATTGAACAGTGGTTTTAGTATGAAGTTGTGCTCTAAAACAGTTGTACTTGGAAATCTGTGTTTAGTTTGTATCCAAAGTTTGCTGACTGATTAGATGGCTTTCAGAAGACCTACAAGTTAATCAGAGTCCAGAAATATGTTTCAGGTGTGGATCTAAAGCTGATCAATTTAGCTTATCAAAAACAGGTTATGAGGTGACATGATCACTGTTCACTGGTGTTTCTTGTATAGTATTTTAAGCAAGCAATACAATTCAAGATTTTTAAAAAGTGAAACCTCTTTCTAGACTATTATTGTTGAAGTTATGAGAACAATTTGCAAAGGAATATGTTGACAGTGGTCACTGAAGGAGATATTTAGTTTTTCAGTACTATTACAGACTGAGGTCAAAAATAAAGTTCTGTGGCCTGAAAAACACCACAATGACTAGCTCTCAGCATCACTCCATCTGGTATTAAAAATCTACAAACACTAAGGATCAGGCTGGGATTCACAAAGCATTCAGGCATATAGTTGTTCCCTTTTAAAATATGGGATTCAAGAGAAATTATCATCATTTAATGAATCAATAAAAACTATGATTTTTTGGACGTCTCAATCATTAACTGGCAGTGTTTGTGTTGCCGAGAACTTCAACATTAATAGTTGATACGGGTACCATATGCTGTAAAAGTCAGAATCAAATACCTCAAGTTTTTCATTTGCCCTTAACACCTGGAGAATCAAGTATAATCAGGTTAGGTGTTTTACTCATAAGCTCCGCTAATTTGAAAAAATATCTATATTTAGTAGGAGAGAGAAGAACCTCTGTAGTTTTCATGTAACAGCTACTACACAGTTGTTGCCACAGATGTTGTTTCTAAATCTTTTAGATTTTCTAGAAGCATAGGTACTTAGTAGTTCAACTGTTTAGCAAAAGAGAATGTCATACAGCAGCATTTCGACTTTGAAGCAAGGGCTTTGTATTTCGTAACAGGAGCCGGTGGTCAGGGTCCATAACATAGGGTTTTTTTACTTTTCGATCTTTTTCTTTCTGTTCATCATCAGACTCATAGAAATTATTTTCACTATATTCTTCCACAACATCCTCATCCTCCTGCAAAGAGGAAAAGACAAAAACACACAGACTATTTGAACAGACTGGTTTCATTAATTAAAAACCCACCACACAACCTGTTTGTAAATAAATAATTAAAATAGTAATAATACATTTCATGTTATTAAAGAAGGTGTATAGAGAAGACAGAGCCAGGTGTTCTCAGAGGTGCATAATGAAAGGATGGGAAGCAAAGGAGACAAGATGCAGGAAGAAAAATTCCAGTCCAAATCAGGAAAAAGAGAATTTAATGACGGTGATCAAACACTGAGACAGGTTGCCAAGAGACTAGGCTTTTAGTATCTCTAACCTTTAAAAGTTTCAAAACTTGAATGAAATAACTCTGCACAACCAAATTTAAGCCCTGCTTTGAAGAGGAAAGGACTAGGAGGACTAGAAGACTTCCAAAAGTCCATTCCAACCTAAATTATTCTGTGGTTACAAAAGCAACCTACTTTTCATGAAAATTGTTTACTTCGCAGAGGAACTTCAGAAAACATATTCGATCACTTTGAAGATCTGGTTAGTTTAGTTTATCATCAAGGATAGGTCAGGAGGAGGTTAACTCACTCGATGGGCAGTACAGTGATCATTGCTTTATTGCATTTTCCTCATTCTCTAGCAATCTGTATCTTAGATTAAAATATTCACTTCTGTATTTATCAAGTTTAAGAGCTGCCAAAAGACATTTTCTTCTTTAGCCAACAGCCTTCTGCAAACAAAAACAAACCAAAACACATATTTTATGACACTCAGTGCAAACTCTGGCAGTGAGCTCTGCAATATGCGCTTGCACAAATATTTTCACAGAATGCTTAAGGTTGGAAGGAACCTCTAGAGGTCATCTAGTCCAACCCCCCTGCTCCAGTAGGGACACCTAGAGCACGTGGCACAGGGTGGCATCCAGGCAGGTTTTGAAGATCTCCAGAGAAGGAGACTCCACAACCTCTCTGGGCAGCCTGTTCCAGGGCTCCGTCACTCTCACTGTTAAGAAGCTCTTCCTCATATGGAGGTGGAACTTCCTGTGTCTCAACTTACATCCGTTACCACTCGTCCTGTCACTGGCCACCATTGAGAAGAGCCTGGCCACATCCTCCCTACAATCACCCCTCAGGTACTTGAACATGTTGATCAAATCTCCTCTCAGCCCTCTTTTCTCCAGACTAAACAAGCCCAGCTCGCTTAGTTTTTCCTCATGGCAAATGCTCCAGTTCCTTCATCAGCTTCATGGCTCTCCAGTGGACCCTCTCTAGAAGCTCAATGTCCTTCTTGTCCTGGGGAACCCAGAACTGCACACAATACTCCAGGTACAGCCTCATCAGAGCTTATATATTAAGAAAAGCAATGGAGGAAAAAAAAGGCTATTTGATCTTTGAAATGTAGCATTTACACATACATTTACAGAGGAAGTTTTGGGTGCTTTTATGTTATCACTACTGCCAAAGGCACACACTGATTTGTGCCCCCTTGTACCATATGTGCAGAAATAAAGGAGGCAGAAGTTATTCCTCACCCTCAGTTACTCTCAGTGACTGAAAGGTCAAGTGGGCTGCAAAGAAAAGTGCTGTAATAAATATGTATTATATATATTATATATGTATATATATATAATTTACTGCAACATGTAATGCAATGCAGATAAATATAAGGACAGCCTTTTTTTCCTCTGTTAAGCAATTAACTATTGCCATATATGAGGAATGATCACAACCAGTTTCCAAATAAGGGTCAGTGGTTGACCACACTGCACTACCAGCACCGCACTACCAATGATGGCTTCAGCAAGTACAGGCTATTTAATAACTGCATCAGTGGCGTACTAAGTAGCTCTCCCTAACATAAAAACCATAGGCCATTAAAAAGAAATGTTTATTTTAAAAAATATTTGAATATTTAGGGACAAGTTATTTGCAAATAGATTCAAGTTTTTAGGATCTTTCTGTTGCAGACTGTTGTGGATCAGGGAAGAGTGACAGGGAAGGAGCACATCATCACATAGACATGAAGCACGAACAACTTCTGAAAGGTTTTGTCCTCTAACACACAAAGGATGAAGCATTCCTCATGTTTAAGGCATAAACGGAGAGTTTAGAAAAAGCTGTCTGAGATTCGGGAAATGCAAAAGAAAAGCTAATTTATTGTGACAGATTGTTGTAGGACAGGAGGGGAGAAAAGAGTTATCTTAATGGATGATTTTCACAGAACTGGCCATAACAGCAAAGATTTCACTCTTCTGACAGAGGCATCTTCTACCAGGATAGCCGTGTTTGTAAATAATACAACAGAATCAAGACGCCTGGTCTAGCAAGAACCAAAAAATAGTAAGAGAACCTGAGACTGAAGAAAACAGGTGTAGTACAGCTAAATTAAAAGTAATGACACTTATGAGCCCAGCATTTGAGAACTAGGAGGAAAGGCAGAATATTCCCTCCTTAGGTCTAACAGCTCAATCAGGACAAGGCCTGCGAGGGGCTGTAAGTGCATCCCAGCACAGAGAGGGCTACAAGACTAATGATGTTAGCACAAAAGCAGCCATGCTGTCAGCTGGAATACAGATAATCACATCTAGGAGAAAATCCTTTTTGTAGCAATCAGTTCCATTATTTCTACTTAGATATACTTAAATGCATTTAAAACTTGTTAAAAAAAAAAAAAACCCAACAACAAAAGCCTGGATTACCAGAATGCAGAAATGCAGAACATTAACATTACAAAAACAAGTGTGCTTATTTTGGTCTTAGAATACTCCACTTTTCTCAAATCTGTTGAAATTCTATGAAATAACACGATGATAACACACAGGGAAGAAAGTTCAGTTAGCTGAAGTTCATTAAGATCAAACCAATGAAGTCCAAAACAGTGACAATTTGTAATCACACAAGACAAAAAGAATAAGCAATATTGCAAGATTTGCAAACTACCATGAAAATAAAACATTACATAAAAGAGATAGGAGACTGAAAAATAAAAACCTGTAGGCATCCTGATGTGTCATTTCAAATTCTATTAACCATCCCAGGCACACATATGGAGACCAGTTAGCAGGAAATGTAAAAGCATTCAATCAGTAATCATCTTAAGACTCAACATGAACTGCTGAGTACACCCACTGACAAAGGAGAAAAACATCACAGCATTCACAAAATTACATTGATAATTTCTGCTACCATAGACAAGCTTATTTCTTGACAGTACTCTGTACTAGTACCAGTATTCTATTCAGCAGCTCAGGGTTTAGTAACCAGTAAACCTAAAACTGAACCCTTCAGGAGGTGGTCCTATTAGGCTGACTGAGCTTAATGATTAAGCATAGCCAAAAATCAGACCATCAAGAAGAACTTCCCTATAATACTTGATGCCACTGAAATGTCAACACTGTAGCTACTGAGTGACAAGATGCTGAAAAGGGTAGCAAAAAGCCCAGTACGCAACTATCTGCAGCACATATTCAGTAAGAAACACACAACCTGTCTGTGTAACATCCAGCTGTGGGGTTTTTTTGGTCCCTTGTGGCAGGAGGCAGCATGAGAATTTAAGAAGTAGATTGAAATGTTCTAATATTTTCTCTTGCCTCTTCTATTGCTTTAGATGTGGTTTTCACAGCCAATTTACTCATAACATTAAAGTGTTTTATTTGAAGTGGGTTTCATTTTCACTCGAACCAGTAAAATGACCTGGCTCACGCTGTGGTCACGGGATCACTGCTGAAGGAAAGCAGGGGTACGGGGAGGACAGGAAAGAGGCATTCCCTTGAAGCGCCTGCCTTTAGTTAAGATGCATTAAGTACACTCATAGTTTGTAGTAGCATGTGATTTAATTGTGCAGTTAATAGCTTTTCTAAATTGGCAAATCACTAAGAAAGTTCAGAACCTTGGGAAAATGAAGTGATTAAACACAAAGCAAGACCACTAGCTTTGCAGGCTAGGAATTGCAAATAAACTGTTTCACATGATCCGCAATTTATTTAACCCAGTACAGAAGAGAATATCTTAGCGCCACAGAACATGTGTAATTCTTTTTTTTGCATTATTCCAGACATACACTTTAGGGCCATCTTCATAATGTATTAACAGTTTAAATGAAGAAACTGCCAGATAACAAGTTCCATTAGCCTGTTATTAAAATTACTAAGGGTAACACTCAACTAAGATCCTTCTTGAAGTTACATTTAGTATGGAAATAAAATTGAGAATGTGCCGTCCATCTAAGGTAAAGCACATTACAGGGCTTCAATACATCCACAAACAAGAGCTAATGGAAAACTTCACTGAAATCCAAACACAGACTCATGCTGTTTGCCCAGGCTAATAGCCCTAATCCTGCTCTGTAACCTGCTTATTTAAGTATTTAGATTCCTAGGTTTGGTATAACTGATCTTTAAGGCCATGGGCTTCTATTTCTCTCCGTAAGGAAGATATCTGTAACACAGATTCGTGCACAGGAAACAGAAAAACCTGTGACTACTTCTATACTTGCCTGTGAATTCATCTCATTTTCCAATCACTACTCTGGGCGTACATATTAGAACTTAACATTCTCCTGCCTTCAACTTTATTCCTCCTTCCCTGTCACTGATCTTACTAGTTGAACAGATATAGCTGAATTCCTAGTTTTTCAAAAGGAGTTCTTAAGTTAAATAGCTGCACCTTATTATTACAAAATACTGCTCTTCTTCAGTAAGTAATGTTTTATCACTCTACTAAGGACCAGACCTGTTGCTTCCACACAGATTAATAAACAGCACATGCATTTTCAGTTAAGTGAACAGTAATGGACTGAAGAACCAATAAAACTTACAAGACCATCAGGATAGTTTTGTTTATCTAAAGGGCTAAAACACGCTGTCAGCTAACATGGGCTAAAACAGTCAGATAATGTTAAAAAACAATCCATTTTTCAACTGCAAACACCTGCCAGGAAACGAAGCACCCTGAGAAATGGTTTATACTGCAAGTGCAATTTGTGTTTCTTACCAAACTCTCAGCTAGTCAATGGCTAAT